GGGCTGGCTGGCATGTATGCTGGGGATTGAACCGCGGTCCCTGGGCTTTGCTTAGCTTGCTTTAAGTAGGTGCTTTAGACCACTGAGCCATCTCACCAGCCCTGTCTTTTTAATTTTTTAAAAAATCATTTATGTATTTGGTGGAGTGTTGCTACGAAGCTTGGATTCATAGTGATCCTCCTGTCTCAGCCTCCACAGTGCTGGGATTACAGGCATGCACTACCATGCCCAGCATACTGTACTTGGGGTCAAATCCAGGTCCCTGTGCTTGTCAAGCAGCATGTAGACTGCCGAGCGATCTCCCCAGCCCTCGCTGTGTGCTTTGGTCACACCTTCTGCATGCTGAGAAGGGGCAACAGCTGGGGCACAGGGGCACAAGATCTGGCTTTAGTGATGGTGAGGAGGAGGACACAGGATGACACCTGCTGTGAGGCGTGAGCCAAGGGCTGCGTGTAGGGGCCGTCGTCACCCCTGTGCAGAAGCCTGTGTGGTTCATCACCCTAATGAGCTCTCAGGAAGGCCACTTCATAGAGAGAAGAGAAGTACTTGGCTCAGGGTTTCAGGGGTGCAGTCCATGACAAGTCCCTGGGGAAGGCTGGCCTGACCGCTCTGGGGGCCAGAGCTGGGGCACGCACCCTGCGCCTGGGCATTTTGTCTATCCGAGTGCAAATGGGCCCCACCCTGATGACCTCACCCAGTGAGAGCTGATCGCCCCAAAGGCTCCACCTCTAAACACCATAGTTGGCTGGGTTTTCACCTCCACATGGGGATTGAATGTCGGCCCATGGGGCTATGCAGACCACAGCCCTGGTTGTACAGATGAGGAAACTCAGGCACAGCCTGGCTAATAGCTCCTATAAGAACACTCAATGAGAAAGGATCAGAACCAAGATTTGAACCTGGGACTCCGGGAGTTCAGCACAAAGCCCACAAGCACCAGGTTCTGCAGTTGTTGGAGGAGGGGTGCTGGGGATGGTTTAGCCGCCTCCCCAGGCCTCTCAGCCCCACTAGAGCCCCAAAGGTACAGGCAGGCCAAAGGTGTGTTGTTGCCTGGGACTGACAGAGATTTCTTTTCTTTTTTGATACCAGAAATCAAACTCGGGCCCTTGCACTTGCCAGGCAGGTTCTGTGCCATGGAGGTGTACCCCGGCTGCTAAGGGTTTCCTGAAAGAAGGCTGGAAGCTGAGGCAGGAGGGGGTGGGCAGGAAGACCAGCTGGTTATGATGCTTGACAGGGAGCATTTGAACCATTAAAGGGCAACACAGCAAGTGTCCAGAGATGAGCCAGTGGCAGCTGACCTGTGCCTAAGGCGCTGCACCTCCTTACCCCTGTGAGGCGGAAGCGGAAGTGGTGCTAATGTCCACCCCCCAGGGCAGTGGGTGGGTCAGGCAGCTTTGGCCCAGCCAGCGATGCCAGAAGCCAAGACCAGCAGCTCTGGAGAGGACGGCAGCTGCAGGGGATGGCAGCCTGGCAGGACAGGGTAGTCAGGGAGCTGAGCTGCAGTAACTCATCCTTTTCCTCGGTGGTACAGGGCATGGAGCCCGGAGCTGTCACTCTTGAGCTGTATCCCCTGTCTATTTTTAATTGTCATCTTTTATGTTTGTGACAAGGTCTCACTAGTTCACTAAGTTGCCCAGGCTGGACTTTGAGGTCCCTTTAAGTACCTCATGATTTGTTCTGTCTTCTGAGAATGTAGGAGGTGAGGGAGAGATTTGGAGAAAACTTCAGGGAAGGCAGTTCCTTGTTTCCTCCATCCCAGCCACCTGGGCTCCAGGCTCTTCCTGAAGCTCTGGTTCCCCCCACTCCACCAGGACTCTGAGCCACCTCAAAGGGAGCCTGGTGTGCTGTGAAAGGCAAGGCTGGAGGCTTGGCAGTCCTTGGTGATGCTGAGGGAGCCTATGCTGTGGTGGCACGGCACAGGCCCACAGCGCTAAGTAACCATGGTGCACCACTCCCCCGTGGGGTACAGAGCCTTCGGGCAGTGTCTGCCCCCTCTGAGGGGTGATTATTTTCACCAGAGCCGGTTCCAGACACACTCATGGAGCAGCCAGCTGGGAACACACAGAGCCTCCACGCTGGTGCTGGCTACAGCCAGGGTTTGCCTGTGTCTCCTCACAGGCTGACACCAACTCCTCTGTAGCCTGGGCCATTTGCAGAGTGACTTGCACTGCCCAGTGTGTCCCCCTCCCAGGACTGGGCGGCTCCCTGGGTGTGGGCTCCAGAAGGTTGTGAGCACAGCTAGTGGCCACTCTGCCCACACGATGGTCCAGCATTCCTGTCCAGGTGAGATGACCACGTACACTGTAGCAACAGTTCCTTACATTTCTCTGCAATCAACTCAATCTACAGACGAGAAACCAAGGAGAGGACCCCAGACCAACAGGGCTCCTAGCAAGCTGCAGCTTCTGTTTTCTACAAAGCAGACCCACAGAAGTTTTGTCTGAAAGGACAGGGGCCACCTGGCTTCCTGGAGAAGGTGCTCATTTGTTGGTGGCCTGTTTCAGGAAGCAGGCTCCAGGGGTCACTTGGGGACCTGCTGGGAGATCCACCAGGAGACCTTGGTGGACCCTTGGGTCTTCCTGGCTCACAGCTTCAACCTTGCCCCACTGGGCAGCGCTCCAGTTCCTGGGGTCCTGGGTGACACGGGGGTGGCCAGCTGGCTATGGGATGGAGCAGGAGGCTCTGGACACCCAACCTTCATGCCCAGGGCCTCAGGACCTCCATAGCTCCAGCTTTGCAGCAAATAGGACACTTTCTGGCCCCACCTGGCCCATCACCATGACAACCCACAGCCTATAAGAATTGGGGGAGATGGAGCTACAGGGGCGCAGGCCCTTGGCTGTACTGGCGGCCTCCTCCCTGTCCTTCTCTCTGTGACCCTGCCTCAGGTGACCCCATGCCCAGAACACTGCTGAGCATGCTGTGTCCTCCAGACAGCTTCATGTGTCTTGACTGGGAAGCAATTCTGCTGCTGGGTCCAGGCCCAGAGAGCGGCTCTGAAGCGGCCTTCCCTTCTCCGCAGGAGTTTCCCCGGCCATTTCTTGCCTCAGTCCGAGGCTTGAAGATGCAGGGGTAGGCTAAGGTCTAGCAGTGCAGGGCAAATTCCCCAGGGCTGAGGAGGGGGCACATAGAAGTGGGCTGCACAATGGGCTGGGCAGGAGGGGAGCATTTGGGTTCTGGTTCACTCTTGGGACCCGTCAGATTTAATCTCAGCTGATGGCTGCCCTTGGTGCAGCAGAGCTGGGCTGCATCTGCATTTGCCACAATCCTGCTGCCAAAGAAGGTGTCTGTACACAGGCGTCTTCACACAGGCCCCACCTGCGCAGACACCTAGTGTGGAGGACCCTGTGACAACTACCATTGAAACTGTTCTAAACTCGCACAGTTCAGCTTTTCAGATGCCAGAGTGCAGTGACATGGACAGCCGTCAGAGGGCACTGTTGGCTAAGTCTGGAAACCGCACCTGGCCCTTCAGCTAGGGGATTTAAGGGCGCCAGCAGGCTTGCTCCAGCTGCTGTTTTTGGCTAGCAGAGTCTGACTCAGGTTTTGAGAAGCTGCAACCCACAGGTAGCTCAGAGAATCTCCAAGACCAGCGCCCCCAGGCACGGACTCCTCAAGCTATGCTGCTGGGCATGTTCTGGGTGTGCGAGGCAGTGTACAAATGTCCTAGCCTGGCCTTGGCTGGACCAGCGCCTGATGCCTCTGCGGACCCTGGGAAGTCCGGGGTCACAGCTGATGGTCATGGCTGGGGTCTCCTGGGGCACCATTCTCATCGGTCTAAGCAACACAGAAGGAGGAGCTCTCAGAATACGCAGGTTTAACTTAAGATCCAGGTGACCCTCTTGAAATCACAGGTGTAGGCAAGGACTTTCTGAACAGGTCTCCAGATGAACAAGAAAGGCCATCGAGTCACATATAGGGGTCTATCAGAAGCAGAAATGCTTTGCTTCGGAAAGGAAATCACCACCAGAAGGAAGAGACAGAGTGGGAAAATTTGGGGCCAGCTGCTCCTCAGAGGACTAATACTAGAATGCATAAAGAACTCAAATAATTAGACTCCCCCATGAGAGACCCTGGGCAACTAAAATGAACAGACACGTCCTAGAAGAACAAATGGAGAAAAAATACTCAAATGCTCGACATCCCTGGCTGTTAGAGAAATAGAAGCTAAAACACCACCAAGGTCCCATCTTACCTCAGAAGGAATGGCCAGTGCTGAGAAGTCAGATAAGGACAAATGCTGGCGAGGCTGTGCTGCCTCGGGGAGGGCAGAGGTCCTCCCAGAGCAGCAGAAGGCGTCACGCGACAGCGATGCACGCCCACCCACATGCACGGCAGCACAGCGCGCAGCAGTTGCATCTTGGAAGCGGGCTACGTGTCCATCCCAGATGAGCGGACGAGGATAGTGTGCCGTCTATGCCAGCAGAGCACCTCTCTGCTACCAAGGGGCTGCGCTCGAGTCACTGCTAGGGAGCTAGGGGCATCTTGAGATCGCAGTGCTCGGTGAAACAAAGCAGACCCAGACACCCAAACACCACACCTCTCTCATACGAGAAAGTGCAAAATAAGAGAGGAAATGGAGCTGGATCTGCCACAAATGGGAAGGGACAGGGAGGATGGCAGGAGGGAAGGGCAGGGGGAGGAGGAAAGAGCTGGAGGCGCATCGCGCAACGTGCCGAAAGCCCACACTGAGAGCAGCCACATGGAAACATGAGGTGAATAAGTTCTGATGAGTCCTGCATTTATTTGGGACTGAGCAGGGATCTGCGGGGGGTGAGGGGGGAGTCACAGGGAACCCAAGGGGTCAGGCCCAGGGAGGCCTCTGTAGGGGAAAGGACAGGGTCCTGTGTGCCAATTTAAAGCCAAAGCCCCCCTGTCACTGAGGCACTGGGGTGAGGAGTCCTCACAGAAGCACCCCACGTGGAGCTCTGTGTCCCGAGTCAGGGCGGGGTCCGCACATCAGGAATCCCAGCCTCAGGCCCCATGAGCTCCGGGCTCCGTCTCCACTGGGCCTGACGTGAGCACTCCATCCACACCAGTGGCCTTCAGGCCCCAAACAAGAAGTCTTCTCGGCCCAGTGTCCACACTGCCAGGCGGTGTGTCCTCAGTGTCACTGAGGGGAATTTTCTGTCTGAGATGTGGGCAGGGCATGGTTGGCCTCTGGCAGTGGTGCATGTGTGGTTGGCATGGGTGCCATCAAGTATCCTCATCATGTGCGGGGTGGCCTAGGGCCCCTTCTCCACAAGGGACAGATTGCTGGTTGGTACCAGGGCTTCCTAACTGTGCCACGGCCTGATGGCTGGCCACAGCCTCTGTCCACAACTTCGAGGACCCCAAAGAGTCCTTGACACAGGGGATGAGAATCTGGGGCTTCACAGCCCCATGGGTCAGGACAGGCCTGGGGGGCTAGGACCTCAGGGTGTAAGCAGAGCTGTTGACCCCGGACTCAGTCCTCTCCTGGGTCCCTGGGTCTCAGCACTGGCTAAGTGAAGGACAGGAAGCACCAAGTCAGGTGTTGTTCCTGATGGGGAGACCAGATAGCCCATGGCTAGTGTATGCGGCAGTGTGTGACACTGGGAGAGGCGGGGTTGGAGGCGGTACAGGTGGTGACCTCGGATCCAGGAAACGCCAGGATGGCTGAGACCCCACGAAGTGCAGGACAGAGGGTTCTTGGCTGGGACAGGGCCACAGCGTGGGACAGGTAGGGTTCACAATAGGGTGTGGTAGGGGACAGAAGAGGGATCTTCTGGAGATGGTGGGTAACTGAGAAGGGGTGGGCCAGGGTCCACAGAGGAGAGAGGCAGAGCTCAAACCTTCCCAGAAGCAGCTCTGACTGCCCTGCTCTGGGACTGTTGTCCCCACTCAGGCCTTGCAGGGCCCGCTCGGACACCCTCCCTCTCCAGTCCCCTCACCACGGGCCTCCTGTGGTCAGATCATGGGCCATGGCTGGGAGGTGACAGCTGTGTGGCTCCAGCCCAGTCCTCCTCCAGAGCTACAGATTACTTCTTTTCTTTAGCATCTTCCTGGAGCTGTCACCCTCACCTGCGTCGCTTTCTTGCTGACTCAGCCTTTTGGTGCTTAAGACATTGGGGTGGGCGGGGGAGGCAGCCAGTGAGAACCAGAGGGCCTCTGGGAGACCCTGGCTGCTCTGTCCAAGCTCAGCCACACCGGCAGGACACAGAGGAACAGCAGTAAGCCGTGGGCAAAGGACCTCTACGAGATAAACCCTGGCTTCCCTGTGGGGAAGCAGGGAGCATCAGAGGCCAGGGACAAAGGCCACATGCGAGGATAGGGCACAGCTACCCATGCACAGTCACCCATGCAACCCGGTGACATCATAATAGCATGGCACTGGGTGACACCCCCTCCCAGCTGAATGGGCTGACAGCAGGGAAGAGGCCGCATTCTGTCCAACTCTGACCCATGCTGTGGCTCAGGAAACACCCAGGTGACGTGACAAGCTGGGGATGGCTGGTACCTGGGTGATTTGGAGATGGAGTGGTCATCGTTGGGTGACCCCAGGTCCCCTCTTTCCTGGAGTGGGGGCTTCTTTCTTTTGGTCCTCAGTGGCTTCTCTGTAGAAGACAAAAGTTCAAGGCCCAGCTCTGGGACTCTGGGTAGTGGTTCCACTGCTCGGCACAGCCCACGTGTCTGAGACCCTCCTGCAGGCCTGAGACTCACTTCACCAACAGGGAAACTGGGAAGGGATGCCAAGCTCTCCCTCACCAGCAGGGCACCAAGAGGTGCCTGCAGCCTGCGAGGGTTGTACTCGTCGTGGGCCATGGGGCCTCGCGCGCAGCGCATCTTCATCCTTTTCCGTCTCCTTTCTCCCTGCCCTCCACACTCCACCTCTCCGTCTTTACAGAAAAAAACCCTCCCTGTTTCCTATGATATATTTTATTTTGCTCTTTATTTATTCCTTGGGTTTCTCATATAAGAAAAATCATGCAATATTTAAGCTCAGATATCTGATTTTTATTTATTTATTCATTTGGTACCGAGTCTCGCTGTGCAGCTTGGACTCGTGGTGATCCTCCTGTCTCAGCCTCCCCAGTGCTGGATTACAGGTGTGCACCACCGTGCCAGGTCTCAGTGGCCTGCAGGGCGTGCCTGGGGTTCTGGGGCCAGCATGGGGATCACACTCCAGGTCACATGGATTCTAGCCCCAGCATCTCGAGGTCTCTCCCACCGACTTCCCAGTGGTTGCACCAGTTTCCACCCCGCCAGCAGTGAGGGCGAGTGCCTCCCCTGCAGCCTGTCCAGCATTTGTTATTCGATTATTGGTGGTGGCCGATCTGTCTGCACTTCTCCTGTGACCCGGGAGGCTGGGCTTTTACTGTCCCTCTGCACTGCCGTGAGCTGTCCACTCACTGTTGCCGCCCATGCTGGAACTGGGTCCCTACTCCTGGGGGGTCACTGTTTTGAGCTCTTCATGTAGTCTAGACACTTGTCCTCTGTATGCGGGCGAGCTGGCCGAAGTCTCTGCCCACCCTGTGGGTTTCCCCTCTGTGTTTCTGCTCCACGCAGAGGCCAGAGGTTTGGGAAGCAGCGAGGACTGAAGGGACCCGGGCAGCTCTGGGTGTTCCCAGCTGGGAACACTCCTGGGGGACAACAGTAGTGATGCCACTCAAGTGTCCCTGACAGTGCTGCCGTCCCACTTCACAGAGTAGAAGAGGTGGGGATGAGGCCCTGAGCCACGAGACTCTAGAGGACAGCAGGGCCTGTGTCTGCACTGAGCCCTCACAGAGCACAGGGACCCTAGAACCCGGAGCGCTCAGGCACAGGGGTGACTGAGAGACGCAGTGAGAGTTTAAAGAAAAAACATTACAGTGAAAGACACGTCACCAAGGACACGGTCTAAGAATACTGGAAGAGAGAGGGCACATTTTAGGGGATTAATGGCAAATGTTCCCTTTACTATAGTACACTTTTTTTCTGTCTGTCTTGTTATGTAGGTCAACTAGTTTTGAGCTCACTTTGTAGCCCAGACTGGTCTTGAACTCCCAGTGATCCTCCTGCCTCAGCTTCCTGAGTGTTGGGGTTACAGCTGTGTGCCACCATGCCCAGCTCTATAATAAATTTTTATTATTAATTTTTAAAAAAATTTTATTTATTTGTGTGTGTGTGTGTGTGTGTGTGTGTGGCCAGCTCAGCCCACCAGGGGGCGGGGCTGGCTGGCATGTGGTGCTGGGGGATCAAACCGCGGTCCCTGTGCTTTGCTAAGCTTGTTCTAAGTAGGTGCTTTAGACCACTGAGCCATTTCACCAGCCCCACTATAATAAATTTTTAATGTAAACATTCCTATCTTTCTGGGCTGCCCCTCATTGGCCAAATGCTGATGGAAGTTTCTGTTCAATAAAAACATGACGCTGCGTCCTTCTCCGCCTCGCTCGCTGCCCCGGCGCTGGGAGGCTTCCTGCTCTCCCTCAACATCACAGTGACCCTGAAGGTGAAACTTTTTAATCCATTCAGGCTCTGGAGGCAGCTGTGACAGCGCCACTAAAGACCCCCCAGAAGGAGGACTTCTGGACCCAGGGATTGGTGCTTAAAGAGAGGGGGAGGATTCTGAGGGGATTCATGACCGTGTCCTTTAGAGTAATTTTTTTTTCATTTTTGGGGCCAGCTCAGCCAGCTCTGGGGGCGGGGCTGGCACAGCATGTGGTGCCAGGGATCGAGATGTGGTCCCTGTGCTTGCCTAAGCTTGCCTAAGCAGGCACATTAGACCGCTGAGCTGTCTCAGTGGCCCTAGTGTAATAATTTTAAAAAGCTTAAACGTTCATTGCACGTTCTGATCACATCCCCCACACAGGTCTCCTAAGGCGGCACGGTGGGTCACTGGAGGACCAGAACCCGTATGCCCCTACCCACCAGGCCCCTGACTCACCCGGCTGCCCCAGCTTACTAGGGCATGGCTTGTGGTCCATCAGGGGCACTCGGGTCAGCGCTGCCAGCTCAGTGACAAAGGTCTGCTCGGCTTCCTAACGGGCAAATAGAGAGCGTCAGCTGGCTGCCCCCTCCACAGGTGTCCTCCAGTGGGACAGCCTGATCCTGTGGGGAGGGAAAGGATTCTTCCCAGAGAGGCTCCGATGGCGCAGAGCACAGCGGGGCTCCTGCTGGGGCCGCCAGCCCTCCCGCCTGCACTGCCCCAGTGCGAGCACGCGGGGCCCAGGGCCTGGTGTGGAGCAGGCCTGGCCACATCCTCCACCTACACTGTGATGCAAGCAGGCAGACCCGGGGCCCGAGACCTGTGAGTTGCGTGCCCCCAAACATTTGGGTCACCCCTGAGGGTCTCAGTTTTCCCCTCTGTCCCTGGGGTAGCAGTAGCAACTGCCCCTTCGTGTGGCAGAGAACATCAGCTAGTTGGGGTCAGGGACGGTGTAGGATGGACCCTGGTACACAGCTGCTCACTGCAGCAGTCACATCCTCATAGTAGTCACTGTCACCAAGGTGGCCTTGTCCAGGTGACACTGAAAGGGCCCAAACTCTGCCGTACGCTTCCTGCAGGAAGAGCTTTATGGCGGGGCTTGGCAATAGCCGCATTTTGTCGTTTTCTGTCTTTTTATTTTTTGGACCTGGAATCAAACTCCTGACCTCGCACTTGCCAGGTATGCCTTGTGCTGCTGAGCTACGTCCCTGGCCCCTGCTCTCTCATGAACGGGACTTTGTATCCAAAGAGCTGAGCCTCCTGAGGAGTCTCTGTCACTCCCTGCCCGGCCCCCAGGTACAGCTGGTGGAGATTAGCAGAGGACGCGCAACATCTCCACTGCCCTAGCTGGACTGGCTGAGTCGCTGCCCCTGCCCAGGCTGCAGCCCTGACATTCCCTACGGCACCAGTCAGGGGCACTCAGCAGGTCACAGATGCCACAGCCAGAGGGCCACACAGAGACCGGGGGCTGGCAGCGGGGTCACGGCATCCCTCCCAGAAGCCCCTGCAGGCTCTGCTGCTTCCGTTCCTCTGCACACTCCTCTGTCCCGAGGTGGCCCTACCTGCAGCTGGGCCTCCAGTTGGGCCTCCAGCTGGGCCAGGACCCCAGCCTTCTGCCTCTGAGTGTCCAGGCGGAGCCGCTGGTGCGCTGTGAACTGGGCCTGGAACCTCCTCTGCTGGGACAGTAGCCTGGCCAGAGGACACAGGGGGTCAGCAGTGCTCAAGCCCCAGGTCATGGTGTCTTCTCCCATGTCACAAGGGTTGGCTGAGCTCAAGAACTGTGAGCCAAGAATGGGTCTGAGCCCCTGGAGCCTCAGCAGAGCGGGTACCACTGCCACCCTGTGTTTGCTCAAAGCGCTGTGTAAGGCAGAGTGGGCAAGCCCCCAAGAGGAGAGGACATAGGCAGGGCCACCTGCCCAGGTAGGGCGGAGAGTCCCTGCAGGGAGCCCACAGCTGGCAGCATGGCCTCACCTGTGGGGGATTTCCTGGGCAGCGCTGCCCCCTGCCGGCCTCCTTGATGAGGGCTCGTCCATGGCTTGCTTTTTCTGTAGCTTGTAGCTGTCGATCCTCTCACCTGGGCCGGGCATTAAACACATGACAGTCTGTTGTGGGCTTGGCACATGGGCTCTGCCCAGCTCTGGGCAGGGTGGGGTGATGGGGCCCAGGAGAATGGGACATGGGATATGGAGTGCCCAGAGTGGGGTGCACCTGCCATGGGTAGGGCATGGGGGCCTGCCGCCCAGCCCCAGCCAGGAGGAAGAGGCAGAGGCAGCTGGCACATAAGGGACCATCACAGCATTGGCAGTTCCAGGGGCACTGGCAGGGACTCTACAATTCCGGCCTCTGATGTGCCCAAATGGTGCCGGTGGGGTGAGGCCATGAAGCCCTGATGGAGCTGAGCTGGGGACTGGAATTCTCTGCTCTCAGGTGGGGAGGATGGAGGAGGAGCGGGGAGAGGAGTGACTGCGGGCCAGGTGTCATGGAATCCCCAAGACCAGGAGAGAGGTGGCAGCTGGGAGAAGCAGCAGTTACACAGAGCTCCCTGGGGCCCCTCCTGTCCCCCTACAGAGAGGATCAGCACCAGGTCAGACCCCAGAGCATGTGGGACCCCGGCCTGTCCTGAGACTCTGGCGCAGAGGAAAGGGTGAGTGAGCGGCAGGCTTCAAGCTGACTTCCATGTAGCATTACCTGCGTGTCACTCCTGGGACGGGGGCCGCCAAACGTCCCATTACTCAAGGGCCCCTATGGCAGCCCAAGGAGGACAAGTCTAAGGGTCTGGGGAACCTGGCGTGGGCCCCTGGCCTGTTCTCCTCGCGGTCCCCGCGGTGACTTTCGCCAAGGGAGTGTATCTCTTTGGCTGCCAGGTAACTCAGAGACAGCTTCAATGAGCTCCAGGAGGCCCTGGGCTCGCCTGACTCAGCCCACCGTCCTGTCCTCGCCACCCTGCATGTTGGTAATCCCTGTCGCACTATATGGCGCTCCATCCCTGCAGCCCCAGCTGGGACGCACCATGCAGTGCCTGGAGCTGCTGCAGCGTCCGCTCCGTGTGCTCCTGAGCCGCCTTCCCGAGCCGCTGGTAATGCGCCTGCGCAAGGCGGCCTACGCTGGCTCTGGTCACGTAGACGCTCTCTACCGCAGTCTCCACCAGAGTCCGCTGTGGAGGAGGGACGGAATGACAGCAGCAAGGTTACAGGCCAGCTTGGTGTCCCCTCCCCTGCCCCGGGGCCTCTTTTGTGCTCACTTCCGGGTGGGACCAGGTCAAGGGTGTTGGCCAATAAGCTGCAAAGTTAGGGAAGGTGCTGGGGAACCTCGGCCTCTGACATTAGGGCAAAGGCTTGGTGGGTTGGAAGCATATGCCCTTCCCTCCTCCCGAGTAGCATGCAGGTCTGGTACATGGAGAGATAGCAGCCATTTTGTGACCACGAGGCAAAACAAATAAATAAAAATAATAGCAAGGATGATGGATTGGGAAGTAGACCATCGTAAGGGATCAGCTGACTCACTGCTAAGGCTCTGGGCCTGGACTCGTGGGCACAGCCTGCTCCCCGCTGCGTCCCCAGCACAGCGCAGCCGTGTACCTGGAAGTCATCGCCGTCCTGGGCGCGGCTCCTGGTGGCCGCGTTCCTCGCGTGCAGCAGCAGCGCCTGCCCTACAGCCCGTTCCGAGTGCCCCTGCAGCCGCTGCCGCACGTCCTGGGCCTCCACCAGCAGCTGCTGCTGCAGCTGCATCCGCGTGCGCTGCGCGTCCACCTCCAGCCGGCTGGACTCCTCCTGGGCGCGCGCCTCCTGCGGGCGAGGGCGGGGTCTGAGGGCTGAGGCTGGGGGCTCGGAGGGGCGGAAGGGGTGGCCGCTAAGGACAGTTCAGCCCAGGTGTCTGCTGCCCTCTCCTCCCCTCACCCCAAAGGGCTACAGGGTGGGGTATCATCCTCCTCCTACAACACTGCGAGGCCTGTACGCCAGGACTGAGGACGTCACAAGGCTCAGAGAAGTTGAGCTGCTTTCTAGGAGTCACAAGGCAGAGCTAGGTTGGGAGGTGGGATCTGAGCCTGGGCACAGGTGGGGACATCACGGGAGCTGTGGTGAGGTCCCGGGTCCCGGGAGGGCTCTCTAGCAGGACTGGGCAGCAAGAAGTGAGGGGTCGAGTTGGGTGTGGTCCACGCAGGAGCCCTGCAGTATCAGCCCCAGCTCTGCCACTGGCCTGTGGCCTCCGGGAGGGCCAGGAGGACGCTGAGTTGGTTAAGGCCCTGCCTGTGGGCTCGGTTTCGCCCCCCCCCCCAGCAGACTCAGTCACCACCCTGCAATCCCTGCAGCATAAGCGCAGGGTGTGGAACCAGATGCAGGCTGCAGGTGAGGGCAGGCCCCGAATCTGGAGACCGGATGAAGAGGGCACTTCCTGCGCAGGCCTCACCAGGGCCTTGAGCAGCTGCCACTGGTGCTCGTCCACACACGGCGAGGCGGCCTGCTCCAGCGCGTGCTGCTCCCTGAGCTCCTGCAGGAGCCTCTTCTTCCCCGACAACCGCATCTGCGCCAGGGTGGCCAGGGCGTCGCTGCGGAGGCCCAGTCTGCGGAGGACACAGTGCAGGAGCAGCTGGTGGCCCTGCAGGATGCCCTGCGTGGACCTGAGGGGACGGCAGGAGGGCAGGGTCAGCGCTCTGGGCTGCAGAGAGGGAGCGAGCTCTCAGGGCTTGGGAAGGGGCCGCAGCCACCCAGCCCACCCCCGCCTCTCCTGGCTGTGTGCCTGGCAGACAGGTGGCCGCCCGATGTCACCTTCGTGACTACCATCAGCCACAGAAACCTTATTTGCACTCTAAGGCAGCTCAGGGTCTGGGTGGCCCCCTTGCTGCTGGGACACTGGGCTGCCCCCGGCTCCCACAGACGCGCGACCCTGGCCTCCCCAGAGCTGCACTCACTCTTCCGTGAGGCCGCCTAGCCTGCCCAGGACTCCGAGGACGGTCGCCTCCTGCTCCTCCCGCAGCTGGGTCTGCAGCACCTCGGACAGCGCACACTCCTCCAGCCACTCCTGCGGGCAGACGGGGACCCGGAGGGAGGTGTCAGCTGCCACTCAGCACCAGGCTGCAAGCTTCTTGCTTAAAGGTCTCTTTGTGCGCTGTTTCTTTTGAAAGCGTTTCTAGCTCCACCGCGCTCCAGGGTGGCCATCCTGCTTGCTTAGCCCTGGCCACCCTGGCCATCTCATCGCCGCAGAAATGGGCTCCAGATACTCACAGGTCAGAGTGGAGCACCAGCTGCCTGGGCTCGGCCATCCATCCCGGCCTAGTGCCTTGAGCCCCCTAAAACTACACTGTACCTCTAAAACTATGCTGTACCCAGAACATGCCATTAAAACCAGTCCCCCTCTCCTCTTGCGAGTTTTTAAGAATTTCTCAGAGTGCTTGGGAAGCCAGAACATTCTAGAACATTTTACAGTTTTTTTTTTGTTTGTTTGTTTTTTGTTTTTTTTTTTTAAGTACTGGGATTGAACCCAGGGTGTTTGCACTAAACAATATCCTCAGACTTTTCTATTTTATTTTATATATTTTTTTTGAGACAGGATCTGGTCAAGTCACTATGTAATAGAAATGATACCCCCTACTCCTCCAAAGCATACTTGAGTTTCTTAGTTGTCCAGGTAATAGTTCCTATTCCAGTTCCAGGTGTTTCTGTCTCCTAGAATGGCATTGGGATGCATAGCTGGTCACAATGATGCACACTGTATAAACCAGTCCCCAGTGGACAAGCTGTTCTGCCCCTGTACTTCCTGCTTGCTTAACCCATCTAAGCCCTAGAGCACCAGAGACAGGGCCCGATATCCCGGGAATGATCCTGATCTGTCTGCCTCCAGCTCCTGGCTGGCTTTTCAGTGTTTCCTTTGCTATTGAACCTGGTGCACCAGCCAGGAAGACCGACTGTGCTGACCTTTTGGTCACCAGTCATGGTCCCCACAGATGGAGCAAGGACCTCTTCAGGTCCTGATGGAAAGGCACACCCTTGAGATTTCTTGAGTCTCCTCATAAGTCTGGAGGAGGATTATTGGATCCCTGCTCAAGTGAGTCACACTGGACCCCAAAGGGAGGAAGACACTGTCTGTCTGTCTGTCTGTCTGTCTGTCTGTCTGTCTGTCTGTCTGCCTGGTAAGTCCCCTAGGGGCACCCCAGTTAGTCAGTCAGTCAGTCCTGCTCAGCTCGAGCAGAAGGAGAGTCTGATCTCTTATTAGTGGGGAGCACCCTCCAGGGAAGGGGGTTGGAGTGTTTCACCTCTGAGTCCTGCTGCCTGAGTGTGTGAGTGGACCAGACAGCATAAGCAGGAGGCCGCTCCGTCTGTGCACCAACACTGGCCAGCCCTGGCTGAGGTGGCTGACTGGGCCCTCACCTGCGGTTCTGTGGTGATTGACAGGTGGCATCCCGAGGTCTCCTACCCTCCTTAGCTAAGTCAGGCCTAAGTCCTACAAGGTTCATGGCTGGATGGGCACCTGAGTGGTCTGTCCCTGAGGGGCACCCACCCTCTGCCTATGTGCCATCCTTCAAGGGTACAAAACACACACCAGGAAGTCAGAGATGGGAACTCATTAGTGCCTCACTGCAGGAAAAAGGCTTCACAGGGTTAAAAATGAAACCAAACCACTCCCTGCATCTCAAAGAAAAGAAAAAGGGAAAGAACATGATGTTTCCTGGGAATTCCACCTTGGCACCGTCCCTGGCAGTGGCAGTTGCTGCCAACTCTACCGCTTCACTCCCCACTCCCAACTTGTCTGCTTCCAGCCAGTTGGACTGGTTCCAGCCAGCCCCTGCCTGCACTTGGCTGCCCAGCGCCCCTGCTCCCCAAATGCGCCTGCCTTGGTCAGCTGCACCAGCAAACACCCACTTGAGATGGCCATCAACAATTCCTTCTGAGTTTCATGTTTTGACTGAGGAAAATTGGGCTCTGAGCCCTGACGAACAAGCTGGACCCTGTCGGGCCTGAGCAGATACAGCAGCCCGAGCGCTACGAAATTGGCCCGAGAGCCTGCAGTCATGGTAAAAGTCAGGGGCAAGCCTGCGACTTTCCTGGTAGACAACAGGCAGAACTCTGCCTTCCAAAGTGCCCTCTGTCAGAGTCACCACCACCAGGGCCGCAGGCGCTCTTGTCTCTCGCCCCTTCCTACAGGCACACATTGCAGCCTGGAATTGCCTCTGCACCAAGCCCGGCAGCCTCCCTCCAGGTAACACTTCCCCCAAGAGGAAGATGACGCCTGCGCCGGCCTGAGACAATCCCTGCACCCCTGAGGTTCTGGACTCTCCTCCCAGAGTGTAGACTAAAGACTCTCCTCTGGGTCTGGCCATCAATGTGCCACCTCACCACTACCCCTGCTGCTGCCATATGTCACGGGGGAAGCACAAGTGGGTGCCAGCCATGCGTCAGCCCAATGGACTGTCGACCGCAGTGCGCAAGGCCTCTGTGCCGTCGACAACGCAGCCATTGCCTTGTGTTCTGTGACTCCCAGCCCACACACCCATTTGTTAACTGCCACAAGGGTGGGGGACTCTCCCATTTGGCTGCTCTGAGATAGCCAGTGTCTCTGTCCCTCCAGGATCCACAGTTCTGTCACTGTCCCCTGGGCCCTGTCATAGGTTGACTGACCATCTGCCTTTGATCGTGAAACTCCATCCTGGGGCAGCCCCCACCTGCAGCAGACAGCATTCCCTGTCCAGGAGGCTCAGCCAGAAATTCACCCACTGAACGAGGGGCAGCAACTTCAAATGGAACACAGCCTGTCCACCGCCCCCACACTGCAGTTTCCCAATTGACAAGGTAGTAGTTCCTGTTCCAGATCCATTTGCTCCTGTCTCTTAGAAACCACAGGTCACTGAGATGCACACTGTGTAAACCAATCCCCAGGGGACAAGCCGTTCTGTCCCTGTGCTTCCTGCTTGCTTATCCCATCTGAGCCCTGGAGGTCAGGGCCTGACATTCTGTGAATGATCCCAGTCAGTGTCGCTGACAGAAGTAAATCTGCCTCCAAATTCTGGGTGTCATTTCTGTGTTTCTGTTTCAACTCAGTTGTCCAGGCTGGCTCCACCTTGCGGTCCTCCTGCCTCAGCCTCCCACAGTGCTGTGCCTACAGGCGTGAGCCAGGGAACCCAGTTGGTCTTGAGCCTTCCAAAGGCAGATTACAGGCTGGGATGTGGCTCAGTGTCAGAGTGCTTGCCTAGCATATACAAAGCCCTAGGTTCAACCCCAAACGTAGGGAAAAAAAAAAAA